GGGGGAGGGGGTTACAAAATAAAAGATCTGAGGCATCATGGTGAAATCAGGCGCTCGTCAAAATAACAAAATTGGAGATACTGACATTTTCCCACCAGTTTTGCAATTTTCATCAAAATTTGGATTTTTTTGTTCAACCCTTTTATGTCCAAATAAAAACACATTTCCGTGTGAATTGTAGTTAAAAACGTTGATTAAAAGCTCAAAACATGTAATTTTTTTAGTTTTCAGGGGACTCTTCAGCTATTGCAGTTACCAAACTTTGGCGCCCATTTTCTCGCTATTTTTACCGCTGAAACCAAGTGAACGTACAAGTAATAAATAGCATTTATGAAGCGCCAAAGATCGTACATAACAAGATTGTTCACACAGCCAAAAAAAACGGCTTCGGATTTTGGATGGTGCTGCAGTCTTTGTTTTGAAGCTCTCTTTCGTTTCTCCAGAAGAAGAATAGAGGAATAGGACAGCTTGTTCGTTTCACTTTTATAGTTTTTCACACAAGTAGGGTAACTCTATTCGCAAAGTCCGCGCTTTTTTCCAGAGGGAGCCTACAAAGGAAGGCAAATGGACAGGCTTTAAGATGACACCAATAACTCCATATGCCCCAAAAATTGACGAGCGCCTGATTCCACGACGTCGCGACACATTTGACAGAACCTGCAGGGTGCTGTTCTTAGTGAGTCGTATGTGAGCGTATTTTTAACAAAATTGTTTTGTTTTACGAATTAGAAAATGTATTCCAAAGTTAGGGGTCTTTATTAGACGGAACCTGCAGTTGTTTGACAGGAAAGAAGGAGCAAACCATAACACCAGAGCACCCACCAACCACCCACAAGGAGGAGAGATGAGGACAATAGATGTTTGATAGGAAAGAAGGAGCAATCCACAAAAGAGCACCCACCAACCACCCACAAGGAGGAGAGATGAGGACAAGAGATGTTTGATAGGAAACAAGGAGCAATCCACAACACCAGAGCACCCACCAACCACCCGCGTGTAGAGACAGGAAGTGGACACTGGCCAGCCGGCCGGCCGGCACCAGGAAGCGGTCATTTTTCACCTCACCTTCGACCTTGGAGTGCATGAAGAGACAGGTCTCGTTGCAGATCCCTAGCTGAATGCTGTCCACCATGGCTCGCACTTTGAGGGCCAGCACGTCCGCGTCTTTGGTCTCTTCTGGGGGGTTGGGAGGGT